ACTTTCGAAAAGTGTGTCGACTATGTGAGAATCCTTGAAACTTTCAGCACTTCAACGTTCAAAAACAAAAAAAAAAAACAAAAAACAACTTGAGAAACAATTCGAAGATGATTACAATCAGTTTTATTGTTACCACATAAGAGGCCGCTTAAAAATACTTAAGTATTTTTTGCTTTATTTCATTACGACCGAAGAGCCTTAACTCCCCTTCCTCTGTGCCAATTTCTTGTATTTATGCCAACAATATGCTGCCATTATGGATTTTGTGCTATGTAAAAAATGCTAGAAATTGTGAAAAATGTGAAAATATTTCTTCATCTTCATCATCATCCACATTCACATCCACAACCCCATCAGCTTCTTCTTCTGCTTCTGCTTCTGCTCTTGTTCAAATATTTATTATTAATTTTTTTTTCTTACCCTTTGTTTTTAATTTTTAAAATGTGTGTACAGTAGGATTTGCGCCCGTTTATTGTTATCAAATGAGGCGAAATTCCCAAAGCACTAGAAACTGCTTAAGTTGAAGTGCTTGTAGCTCGTAAGTTGTGTGCAAATAAGAATGTTGTAGATTATTCATATACTCAACTCATACTCATACAAAAACTATATTTATTTACACATACGACTATATAGCTACATATGTACATACGGAGCATTAAAATATTTTATTATTGCGGTATTGGTTTTATTTGCTTTTCTACTTAAGAAAATGCGTTGATATCTGCACTTAAATGCCATTTAAAATATTGTATTGTTCAGATACTTAAATCTGTTTTTTCATTATTAACATATAGTGCTTGTGCTATTATGCAGAAAGTAGCGTTAAAAGTGTAAATTATTATTAACAATGGGTGTACCAAAAAGTGGTATTTCTATTATATACTTTGTTAAGAGAATAACACCTTAAAACTTTTCTACACCAATGCCAAATGTAAAATAACTTTTCAACATATTCGAGGTTAACAGTGTATATTAACTTTAAGTTATTACAGATCATTGTAATGTTATTTCTACAAGGACAGCTGAAATTAACTTTTACTGATTGAAAATGTACAATACATTCGAACACCTTTACTTTTTTCAAATATTAAATAAATAAAAGATTTTTATTGTTATTTTATAGTGAATTGTAGAATGTGAAAAAATAGATAACAATTAGCACCTTTACTTCTTCCTTTTAGTGCGTCTCAGTTGATCTGTACATGAGACAGATTATGCTGGGATAGTAAAGATATTAGCAATTCTTCTTTTATGAGAAATCGCTTAGAAAAATTTCTTTGAATTCTTCGCTTAAATAAAAAGCTAAGAAATTGTTGGTATCAACATTTTTTTCGATAAATAAATTCGATGCTCTAACCCTAATGCACTTGATAATGGTATCAATAGTAAAATCTCTTTGAATATCAAAGTTTCTAACGTGCCACGGAATTTTAAATATATTATTTTGAATGATGATATTAAATTTTTAGTTATAGTAGGTTAAGTTGATGACTTTATTTAAAAAAAGTAATTTTTGTTAAAAAGTACTTTAAAATATATATAGTTTATCGTACACTATTACGGCATGTTATTATGGAATGTAGAAAATAAGTATATTATCACTATAACGACTTTCTCACCATCACATATTCCATCTTAGCAGACAATGTTATAACAGTAAATAGACTATTTGTCTATTTTACACATAATAATAAAGTTCAAACAATAAAAAGCACTGCGTATATATCACTGTGTATATATTTATTTTTGGAATTACAGAATGCATCACTCTATAGTTCCAACAAATTTTATAAAACCTGTAATGAAGACAGATCTGAAAAAGAACTAAAAACAAAACATATATTATTATTTATATTAATAATAAGTTTAATAAGTAATATTTATACACATTATTTTCTTACTTACTTAGTTAGCCATTACAGACATGCATCGTCCTTAGCCGCATTCAATAGCCCCACTAAAGCCAAAGAATCTATAGTACAAAGAAGTGCCACGCTCATACAAACGAAATACCCACTTAATTTTGCTGGTGGATTTATAATAAATCCACCCAACCTCATGCAACAATGTTCGATCGAGTCACAACTGGTATGATGTTCAGTTCAAACTCATTGCAACCCACAATTGTTTTTACACGCCTGTTTCTTTTGCCTTTCTTGTTTTAATTTGTCTATTCAATTAATATACATGGATTAGTAACGAAGTGAATGGTAAAGAAATCCCTCAAACAATTCTTCCATATACTTTGTTGCTTTATTTGCTTATACTAAAAAGGCCCATATCATAGGAGTAAAGAGTAATAGAATATATTTTTTTTATTGCAAAAAATGATGCACTACAAAAACCATTATGTATGTACAAATGTGATATTGGAGACATTAAGTCTGCAGTACATAAATAGGTATGTTTTTATTGCACATTTGTGCATATATTTTACCTCAAAAGGAACTACTTCTTAATAGTTTGAATTTTTGGTGATTTTTTGTGATTATTTTAAAAAATATTTTTAAGATTCATATAAAAGTGTTTGAAAAGTATTTTAAAGAAAATATAAATATTAGAAAAGTAAGAAAAATTATATTGAAAAAATGTATAGAAGTCACTAAAACCACTAATAATGCTTCCTGGTTTGAGGAAACGCATGAATGCTATTTACACCGGATTGAAATGTTAAAATTGGTGTTTACGATATTGCTTCCAAAACATTGCGCATGGACAACATTTAAAAATAAAGCTTCATAAAATGGAAAAAATCAGATTTGAGACATAAATAAATTTGTAATATGTTTTTACACTACAATTCATACCAATAGCAAACAGGGAATTTCGTTTTTGTTTTATACTATTAAATTAAAAAAATTATCAAATGTACACAATTTTGATTTCGTCACTGAAATGCTGTTTGATCGCTTAAACATTTTACAGCGAACAAACATACAAACATGCGTATAATGTAATACAGAGGGTTGTATGTATGATTGAATACGTATGCAGTCGGGCTTTTGTCAGCCTTACTTGACTCACATATTGGTTTGAACTGAACATCATACCAGTTGTGGCTCGATCGAACATTGTTGCATGAGGTTGGGTGGATTTATTATAAATCCACCAGCAAAATAAAGTGGGTATTTCGTTTGTATGAGCGTGGCACTTCTTTGTACTATAGATTCTTTGCTAAAGCTTACCTGATTAGTACTGATTACTGTCGCCAGTTAGTAGTACCAAGTGCATTTATATCTGTAGCCACCTCGTTCTTCCACTGCAAATGCAGACGTCCTCTATCACCTAGCTCCTTGCTAGCTTGAGCATTTTCTTCCATTCGCTCGTTATATACATACAGTAATATGTGTATGTTACATGTATACATACTTATCTTTGCATATTTAAAAGTTATTAAAATGTATTAAAAAGCATACTTTAATTCAACATTATGAATATTTAGGTTTCGTTCATATTTTTTCATTCATTTTTATTTAATTTAACTTTTTCTTTCTTAAGTGGGAAACAATAAAAATGTTGATGAAGAAGTGAATAAGTTAAGTAGAAAAGTGGGTTAGACAGAAAGTACAATGCACTTCGGTATGCGAGTGTGTTTCAGCATTGCATTACGCCTGAAGGAATATTTGTGCACTTAAGTATGTTAAGCATTAGCAGTGGCAACAGCAGCATAACAGCAATCCAGCATCAACATCACATCAGCAGCTGTAGCAATTGCAACAGCTGCAACATTCGTAACTTAAGTAGTGGATGCATTCATTTCAATTGAAGAAAATTCTACAAAACGTTTATGAAAATAAAGTATTAAATTAATTTGTATAAACTTTTGTTCTCAAGATATCTTCATTATTTACTGTGTTCTAAAAATATTTAAAATATAGAATATATTTCTAATTTGCTATTTAAAGTATATTTATTAGCTAAAAAATTGTTAAAATTGTACTCAAATATGTGTAAAAATGTTTTTAAAGTTAACATAGGATAACCTAAACGGCAATCCTAACTAAGATTAAGACTTGTTGGCCCATTGTCTTATCGTATAACAAATTCAGGGGTTGGAAAACCACCTCGTACCTTTGGTAAAGTTTAATATGCCTTTTAGAGGGAGGTCCTGATACTGTAGTTCGTTAAGGTCCTTAAAAATAGAAAATCGTACACAAAAAGCTTATCAATATTTATTAAATATTAATTTTATTTGCTTTATTTAATATATACAAAATTTTAAGTTAAAATTTATATTTTTTTTTGAATTATTTATGAAATGATAATTTACTTTTGTATATTATATATTAAAAGCCGATGTTTTTAATAAGAAGTAAATATAAAAGTTTTTTAATAAAAGCATTGAGGTGAATATATAAATATAAGAGCATTACTCTAGAGAGAAAAACAAAAAATGACTTATTATTCCACTCCTTACAATATGTATGGAATTTATTTAAAACTTCTTATGACAACCTACGGCATTTTGTTAAAAACATTATAAAAATTAAATTCTCTTCAGATTTGTGGAAGCAAATTTAAAATTTAAAGTAATCACACGCACTGCTAACTCGAAACCTTAATTTTTATGATATGAAATTTAGTCATCCTTGTGGAATAAAATTGAAATAAAATAAAGCAAATAAGACATGAAAATATGTCTTCTTTATGTCATTTAAATGTCATACAGTTTGGCGTTTACAGTTTGGTATACTTAAGCCCATTTTCCTTCCTTTTCATAGCTTCATAGCTCCTATGATTTTTTCTTTGTAATTTATTTTCTGTATTTCACATTTTTGTAGTTGAATAGTCAGTCTCAGTCCTGCTGCTGCCAAGCAATGCTTGTGGCACAAATATTAAATTTTTAATCCTTTAACTCAATTTCTTACTTATGCCGTATTAATAATTCGTCGTTTCTGATTTTTTCTTTTTTTAATTCTCCTTAACTTTGCATTTTGCAGGCTGCTTCACCACGCTGGGAACCACAAATTGCTGTACTTTGCGAAGCCGGTCAAGTTTTCCAACCACAATATCTATCTGAAGAGGGACGTTGGGTAACGGATTTGAATAAGAAGACATCGGGCGCAACATGCTTGCGTGATAAAATGGATTTGTTGGATTATTGTAAGAAGGTACGTACACATCCACATACACCCTTATCTCGACACTTAGCTCGACAGTCGAATGTTGAATGCTGAATACTGAATATTAGAAAAGTAAAAGAAATAATCTCAATTTTGCTTAGCTTATGTTACCAATTTAGGATCGGTAAATATTATATGCAATACGTTGCATACAAATACAAAAAAAAAAAAAAATACGAGTATATCAGAAAAGAAAATTTTAAAAAAATGAAGAAATGCTATAAAAGTAAGGATAAAATCGCCAAAGTGATTTTTCTTGTAGTTTAACGGCTTAAATCAAAGTTGATTCAAAATTTGCGGCAATTACTGAAAATGCAACGAGAAGCTGCAATTGAAGTGCTTAACAGGATTAAGTGGCAGCTTTTTAAAGCAAAATGGGAAAGTAGTTTAGTGTTTTCACAGGATTTGTTTTGCGGCTTTACGAATTGATTTTGCAATACACAATAAAAGATTTATAAAAAATAACTAAAAAAAATATATAGCATTTGAATCAACTTGACATATAAGTGATGGTAATTGAGAATGTTATCGGAGCTTTTTTCATGTCACGAGAACAAAGTAAATTTAAAAAAAAAATTAAAGTTCATGTCAAATGCAGAAGTGCTTGCATTACAAATTTTTATTTTACAATATATGATATAAAAAAAAAAAATTGATAACGGAATTATATTGAAAATGGAAAATTAGTTTTGGTTTTTTCACAGTTTAAAGCATGATTTTGCTACTCAATTTAAAATATTAATTACTATTCATATAAACATGAAAAAATGCAAAATTTTATTTATTATTTATTTTACACTTAAATAATTGTATATCTCCTTACTTAAAATATTGATAACTATTGAAATATTGATCCATATAAACGTATAGCAAATTTAAAAAAAAAATTTTAATATAATAATATACTAATATATTAATACATAGATAACAAACACTTAAAATTGTATATGGAATCTCTTCCATCTGTCTACTTGATTTTTTTTTCTTTGATACGATAGTATAATATAAAATTATGTATTACAAACATATATTAACTATATAATACCGATATCAAAAACATGGGAACACATATGTGATTGGTTGTTTGATTACAGTGCAATAGATAACTTTCCGCTCAATTGCTTGCAAGTAACACGAAGATATAAAAAGACAAAAACTAAACCCACACCGTCGAATTTTGATTTTTTAAAAGATCTTTCGTTTGATAACCTGTTCAAAACATATAAAAGCTAAAAGGTAAAAAAATATTTTCTTAAAAAACTTTTTCTTCTGTAGATAATTTCTTTTTCTTGTAAGTTTCGTTCCACAACTTCTACAATAAAAATTAAAAAGAGCACGCAAGTTCTCCGCGTAGTTTCCTGTACACAAGTGACCAGTTTGAACTGCAGTAAGCCTTGTAGTAGTCACACTGTCCCTTTTAATCAGTTCTTTAGATCTGGTCTTGTTATATGAGGGCCTTTTTAACCAAGAAGTCACATATGTTCAAAAACCCATATGAGAGTGTTGTCAACCAACCGGTATTACTTATCATTGCCTGTGTGCTAACTTTAAGTAGCTTCGATTTTATGATGAAGAACTGAAGGCCATTAACTTGGCTGTCAATGAAAATGTCAATTGTACATCTTAGTGAAACTTGTAATTAGCCGTCATGCCTTTCTAATTGCTAAAACTTCAGCTTGAAAAAACCGCGCGTCCTCATTTGATAGCTTAAGGAAGTGGTTTATACTTGTAACTTCACAGGCATAAATCCATCTCGTAATCCATTTTTGAGCCATCTTTTAAAATTGATACATCGCAGTTCGCAGTTTCTATTCCATTCATTTCTTGACGGAAATATTGTCTGCAAATTTGTTTTATAGTATAAGTTACTGCGATTGTTAACTGTCTATATATTTTATTCCTTATATAAATGGATAAGTGAACAACTGGTTATAGTTGTCGCCAACTCGTACAGAACCAAACAACTTACAAAAAATTCTCGTTTTAAAATCTTCTAGTGCTGGTTTATCATTCTATGATAGCGTTCTGCGCTATACAGAAGTGATGAGTGACCTGTGGAACTTAAATTTTGTTTGACGGGAGAAAGCTCTAAATCTCAATTGCTTACTAAGTCCATAGTAGTACCTTTTGGCAATGTTGACTATTCTTCTGGTCTCCAGACTGACATTATTGCTCTTTGTTACGACGGTGCCAAATAAGTGAAGTCCTTGATGAATTCAAAAGTATAGTCTCCAGCCATAGTAGCACCTTTTGGCAATGTTGACTCTTTGTCCGATTTCCAGACAGATATTGTTGCTCTTTATTACGATGGTGCTAAATAGGTGAAGTATTCAAAAGTATAATTGCCAGCCACTAGTTCGGAGTCCGAGTGACGCACATTTCTACCAGTAGCCGACATATACTTCATTTTGCCTTCCGGTACATTATATGTAAAAATGTAAAAGAATGTAAGAATCAAGACTTTAGATAAAATCGATATGAAAGCTTATATTTAATATACAGAAATATATTAATCACATAAATTTTACTTAGTTTTAAACTGATCGTTATTTGCTGTTATTTAATAATATAAAAATTTCGTTTAGGTTAAATAAACTAAGCTACAAAAATTTATATAAACCAACCAACCCTTTTAATAAAAGTCCTTACCTTTGCTTATTTTCTATAAAATTAATTAAAATTTAATGTTAACGTTAATATTTTTTTCATGTTAATGGTTTTCTAAAAAAAAATAAATTGAATGTATCTGTTAAATGTTCGAAACAAATCATTAGTGAAATGGCATATTGTCGGGATACATGCGAACGTGCATTTTGATTTATTTGCAGTACGTGCAACGCTCCATAATGTCACCAACATGCATTTCCGTTTGTGTTGTATGCAAATACTCACGCCTCCAATGACAGGAAGATACGAAGTTTTTATCGCATTAACATATTGAAGTGTTTATTTATAAATCGAAACAAAACTCAATGTAACAAAAACAAAATGAAATCACTAACCTCATATAACACTTTGAAGGTTACAACAGCAATAAAAAAACATACTATATATACAATATATCCCACGTTGTTGCATGCCACACCCTAACTGAATATTGTTCCACTAAAGTGCATTCGATTTCCATAAAAAGGTATTTCATATTATATTAAAAACTGACAACAACTACAAGTAAATTTAAAATAAATTACATAAAGTAAATTTTGTATGCACTAACAAATAGGAAAAAATGCAAAAATTCATTTATGGAAAAATAAAAAATATGAAATCAAAATAATTGAGTTTTTCCGTGTAACCTTTGCGTTGCGTTAATTGTCCTTGTTATTTATAAGTGTTGGTATTTTAAAATAAACATGCACATATAAAGCAGGCCCTTATAAGACTATAAAAAAAAAATAACAAAAATGCTACACTAAAAAAAATAACTTTAAACAAAACAAAAACTGCAACAAAATCAACGACTACAACCACAACAACAACAGCAGCAGCAAGAGGAACAGCAACGACAAGAACAGAGCCATTAAAGCGTGTTAAGTCGCGCATAACTTGAATAAATTTAATTTAAAGTTGTTGCTCATACGCCCGAATGCACTGTAACTTTGTTCATGTGTGCTTATACTTTGTCGTATGTTGCGCATGTGTTTGTGTGTGTGCTGTGCAAACATAACAGCGCTGTTACAGAGGCGGGAATAGCTTTAATTTCTCTCATGCATATTGGTACTTGTTGACATGAAACTATTTTATCATTTTACAGCCGCAGCATGGCTTACTTTACCGCAGCAATGAGCTATTTTTGTACACGGTAAAGCGCTCAAGCGCGGCGACTAAATAAGTTAATAATAATAATAAAATGCAGAAAATGTATGCCATAAGACGACGTGTTTTATATCCTTTAAGACAAACTAAAATGTATGTATGAAAAGATTTATTAAAGTTCACGAAAGTAGGTCGCCTTTTATTGCACTGTTGTGCACACCGTAGTGGACAAATAAAATTTAATTCCTTTATTTCGTTTTTACTGAAAAAAAAAACATACAAAACACTACTACATGAGTATTTTAAAGTAGTATTTTGGTTATATTAAATGCACAAAAGATATAAAAAAGTAATAAGTGTCAAGTATTCTTAAATTATTATATGGAGCATTTTAATACGAAATTTAAAGTATTAATATTTGCCATACGGAATAATAATACGGAATAATTAATTTGTTTTTGCGGTTAGTGGAAAGCATTGAAAGCCACAATGTGAGACTTGAACCCACTAAAACTGCATCTTAAGAATGAGTTGAGAAGATTCCACCCATCAGACAATGAAACAGTTCTCATTGAAATCGCATTCTACATAGTTATCAGGAAGGTGAAACAGAAGAAGCTTAGTATATGAATTTTAAAATTTATCGAAGCTAGAAGTGCAAACACTGTATATGGGGCAGCCACGCTGTTTTTTAATTTCGAATTCTATGACGCGGAGTCCTAAAATCATAGTGTTTAAGAACATATGTATCAAGATAATGAGTCGATAAATGCCCCATTCAAAATTCCAAGGAATTTCCACCAGTACCAAATGAAGTTATGTTTAGGGACGAGGCCTATCCATGAAAGTATTAACCACAGCCATTGCCATCCTCAATTGGTCAGAACAGCCGAAGCTGCTTGCACTGACCTCCGTAATACCAAATTTACCATTCATACTCCAAACAGTGTTGGACTCGCGTCGGGATTTTAGTCGCCTCTTACAACAGACATGTCATACCTAAAGACCCCTTCTAACTCCTTTACCGCAGAGGGAAGGAGTAGGGACAGTGATCTACTTCGTTGAAATAGTGAGCAAGAGATTGTGGATGGCTATGAAAAAATCTTTGGAGAAGCAAATGAATAAATCAGAACCCGTATAAAAATGTATGTTGCCGATGCTAAACACAAGAGCTCTAGTTTTGCTCTTTGCAGCATTAATTTCTGTGGTGAATCATAGTTGAAATTAAGCCG